TTGCAGGAATCAGATGGCGCGTGAGTCTATTATTGCCAGTTCTCATTTGGAACAATTTCAAAGCTCGAGTTCGACACACTGAAGAACCATTAACGCAAACATCTGCCAGTATTAAAACTATTCTTTGTAGGGTGTACAAACCAGCATCAAGACGATCAATGTAAAGTTGCTCTATCTCCTCGTCATTCAAATCGCTTTTCACATTTTTTCTACTGTCATATTTTTTAACGCGTTCCCTGCAAAAATCAAAACAACTAATAAGTTAGCAAAAAAACAAAAACAAAAAAAAAAAAGCAAAATACCGACAAATCCGCAAATATAGTAGAAATTTTACTTTTAAATACTTTAAAAAAGCTTACTACGTTTCAACAATAAATATTAAAACCAATATTAGTTATGCATTTCAGCTCAAAAGTTCAGTTCCAGAGCAATAAAAAACGTACTGGTATTTTAGCACTAATTCAACAGCACGATCTACTTTTTCGCACTCGTGTTCCGCAAATTTAGAGAGAACTCGTGATCGACCATCTTCATTACATGATTGTAACAACGAAGACAAAACCTGAAAAGACAGAATAAAAAAACTGATTCTGCAAACCAAAAGATAACGATAAGATAAAAAATGCAACAACAAAACTGAAAATGTCCTTAAAAACATACTGAACAAACGTGTTCTTCATGTTCATCTGGAGTAGAGTCCTTTCTTTTCACCTTTGTTGGAGTTCTCATAAACAGAGGAAATATAGTACGTAATGCTAAAAAAATTCTTGTTAAAATTTAGAAATTAAACAAAAAAAGCCATTCAGTGTCAAAACGACCACTTTTTTCAGTCGCCCTTTTAAATTCTTTTTGGTCTTGCTGAATTACACAGTTCGTGCTCGCATATGCAGAATCCGGAAGAATACCTCACCATCTTTTCATTGCAAAAATAGTCACCCTACCAGAACCAAAAAAGTCCATATTTTTTGGCTGATTACAGCCTACTTTGGAAGACTGTAACTTATTCTATTCTCCATAACGTTTAACACTTTAGTAAAAAAGCTAAAAAGTACATTCTTCTTTTCCTGAACCGTTTTACAACTTCGATTTTTGTTTATAAAACTGCAAAGCTAACTCAAATTCATTACTTCAAAAAAAGTTAAGAGAACGTCGCGTGTCCACTTTCTTCAAAACAAATTCATTTCGTGTAATCTTTTTCTCTGTAAAATCCCTTAATTTTTGATTGGAACGAAGAGTGATCTAAAAGTGCAAAAAAATGCACAAGAAATCTTTGCTCTCCTAGTCGCTTATTTAAGTTAGCAGTTCAACACTGGAAATAAGTTCAAGATCAACCCCGCCTACTACAGTAATTCAGAATAAAACAGTTAAACCCACTTTCAAGGACGAGTGAACAAAAATCTTTTGTTCCAGTACAACTTACTTGATCTCAATTCATTCTTCTTTCTACAAATTTATCAAAGCTCTAAGAATTTATACTATTTTTTATAAAAATTTTATACAGAACTTATCTCTGAGGAAAAAATTTAAAGCTCTAGATTTTCCATTTCATTTTGAAGTTGAGATTC